GGATGTTACAAAATATATATATATATATATATATATATATATATTTATAAAATGCTCTGTCAAACTCTTCACATACTCCATCAAATTCTTCGTATGCTCAAAATATCCATTTTTATACTTCATAAGATAAGTTCGATTACAATACGTGTTTTACTTAAACTTATATATTCTATTAAATTAATTAGAAATCGTTAAAACTTCGATTATTTTAAAATTGATTACGGATTAAAAAACAAAAATCATATAAAAAAATATATAACTTCTTTATTTAAAATTTAAAATCGTGTAAAAGAATGCAAAACTTACCTATCTTTATAACTTTTTCAAAATTTGTCTATTTCTAATTTTTTTTATCAAATTTGCCTACTTTTGTATTTTTTATTTAAAAAAAAACTAATATCAAAGATGGGTTCTAGGAATGTTGAGAATCCAACGTAATTGCAGACGCAAAAAAGTCCAAGATTAACACTTTTAAATACCGAAGCCAAACTTCAACAAACCACAACAGCATCCTCATCCACTTCACTCCACACTCATCTTCACTCTCACTCACTCACACAATGTTGCCACCTGCAGGAACCGTCGTGTTCAACACCGTCGGAAGGACCCAATACGGTTTCGACGTTTTCACCGTTGACCTTCACCACCACCTCCCTCCACCCCACGCCGCCACAGACCACCGCCTCACTGATGGTCTTTCAATTAATTTTAACGGCCAATTCATCAGTCCCCAAAACAACGTCATCTTCGTCTCCGAACGAACTGGGTCGCCCCGTTTCTATGTTACCCGACCCGATAATAAACCCCAACCTCTGTTATTTCTCCCCAACGCCCTTTTCCTCGATCGCCCCATTTTTAGAAACGGAAAGCTCTACTTCGTTTCCACACACGACCATCGCGATGACGTTTTTACCAGCTGGAGCGCCGTTTACTCCTCCGCCGTCGAGGAGGGCGCCATCACCACAGTCACGAGACTCACCCCGATCGGCGAGGTGGACTACAGTCCCGCCTTATCCCTCACTGGGAAATTCCTTGCTGTCGCATCTTACCGCTCTCGCCGGTGGCAGAACAACGATTTCCGCGAACTCCAAACGGAGATTGTGGTTTTCCCCGAGGCCGACCCTGGAAGACGAGTCACTGTGAGCGAACGTGGGAGCTGGCCAACGTGGTCGGGAGATTCAACGATTTTCTTCCACAAAATCGCCGAAGATGGATGGTGGAGCATCTTCCGCGTCAATTTAACCGATTCAGATGATATATCTGTATCGGAAAACTCGAACTCGCCGATTCGCGTGACGCCACCGGGGTTGCACTGTTTTACTCCGGCAGCTTTCCACGACGGGAAGCGAATAGCAGTCGCAACTCGCCGGAAAGAGACCGGCTTCCGGCACGTCGAGATTTTCGATACCGAATCGCAAATGTTCCAACGAATCACTGAAGATATAAATCCTACTTTCCACCACTACAACCCGTTCGTCTCGTTGGACTCTCGCCAACTCGGGTACCACCGATTCAGAGGCGAGTCAACTCAGGGCGAGTCAAGCTACCCGCACCTCGATAAAGTTCTCTCTCCGGTTCACGATTTACAGTTACTCAGACTTAACGGTTCGTTTCCTAGCTTCTCCCCTGACGGCGATTTCATCGCTTTCAATCACAGCTTCGATGTTACGGGCGGAGTTAAAATCATTAGATCAAACGGTTCTAATCGCTGGACTTTACTCAAAGGGCGAACGTGCTTCCACAACGCGTGGAGCCCAACGGAAAAGAACGTGATATACACCTCCATAGGTCCAATCTTCGAGTCCGTTTCCAAAACGGTTCAAATCGGTCGTATTGAATTCGACCCGGCTCATTTAACAAACGACCGTGAAGAGGTTCCGTTCAAACTAACGATGCTCACGAGAGAGGAGACAGGGAACAACGCGTTTCCCTCGTGCTCCCCTGACGGAAAGAGTGTGGTGTTCCGGTCAGGGAGGTCGGGGAACAAGAATTTGTACATAGTTGATGGCGTTGAGGGGGAGTTCAACGGCGGGTTACGGAGGTTGACGGAGGGGCCGTGGATCGATACGATGCCGTGCTGGTCACCGAAAGGGGATTGGATAGCGTTCTCGTCGAACAGGCATGAGCCGGAGAACAGTGAGGTGTTTGGGATTTATTTGGTGAGGCCGGATGGGAGTGGGTTGCGGAGGGTGGAGGTGGCGAAAGGGGTGGAGGGTGAGAGGGAGAGGTTGAATCACGTGTGCTTCAGTGGCGACGGAGAATGGCTGGTGTTCACAGCGAACTTGGGTAGCGTGACGGCGGAGCCGATTGGGTTGCCGAACCAGTTTCAGCCGTATGGGGATCTGTACGTGGTGAAAGTGGATGGGAGTGGGTTGAGGAGGCTGACGTGTAATGCCTATGAGAATGGAACGCCCACGTGGCACCATGCGGAGTTAGTTCTGTGTGGTGAAAGTGACGGTGATGATGAAGATTGGGATAAATTGAAGGGTGAGTTTGCAGAACCACTTTGGATAACGTGTGACCTTTGATTTCTTTGTGTTCACCACTGTTGTACTGTATTGTAGTGCTAATGTTTCATGTCATGGGAAATAAATTTGGATTTCTTTTTTAACGTGTCGCAATGAGGAATTTACCTGTATGTCCTTGCTTTGAATTCAACATGCAAGATCATCTTTGAATGCGAATAACTTTGACCTTGGACAACCATAATTTATAAGTTCTAGTGATAATAATTTTTTTATAATATTTTAATATTATTTACGTGTTATTTTGTGATTGGTTTATATTAGTGTTTATAATTATTATTATTGTGAAATACTTTTTGTATCGTATTTAGTGGAGATCGAATGGTTAACATTCGGCATTGTTCGGTCCATCCACTCAAGACTGTCTGGTTCATCCGCTACAGTCAACTAGGTTAAAGATTGGGTTGCAATTGGGTCAGCGTTTAAGTTATTGGCCTAATAGTCCAACAAATGACAAAATAATCAAGAATATCTAATTAAAGATATTGATAAGTTGTTTATCAATAACCAAGAGCCGAGGCTATTCAAATCACACGCCTAACTTGAGCTTCTGAGTATCTTTTGCAGGAACCTTCCCTTAGAACACGAAGACAACCGATCGGCCAAGACTGAAGTAACCGAACGGCCTAGACAGAAGTCAACCGAGTGTTAAACTGTGGAAGCCGAGCAGTCTAAGCGGAAGGAACAAGTGGAGCTCATGATTCAAGCGTCAGAAAGGTTTGTATCTAGATTCTAAAAATACTTACGAAAATACTTTTGAACCAATCACAGAATGACATGTATGATGTTAAAATGTTGTCAAAATAGTAATGTGACGTGACAGAAGATTCTAACACCATGCTGTGCATAACTCATGTATAATTGTGTTGATGTTGCACGATGACAGGAGATAATCAATTATTCATAAACACAATTATTACGTTCAAAAGCAACATAATTATGTATATACCTATAATAATTATGTAACTCTTTCCAACACAATAATCAATTATGTTTTTCAGTCTCAGTGTTGCATAAATTATTTGAAAGATGTGTCTATTATTGATATGAGTGATTTTTGCAGAGATTGTAAAGGTCTTTTTTCTTTTATTAATTTGAAAAAGCTCTATTAATCTCCCCATCTTTGATTAGGGAGAGTTGCTCCCTCCACCACCACCAACCGCTCCCTGCACCTCCCCATACCTTATTTGCCCTTCTATAAAACGATGTCAACACCGTTTCATTCACCTTCAACGATGTTTGACATCCGTAACATCCATTACAATTTTCATATTTTTAGTTTATTATTTTTATTTAAAGAAAAAAACTTCAACGGATGTGCCACATCCGTTTAATAGATTTTAAAAGTTTTTTAATTTTTATTTAAATCATATATATAATTAAAATAATTATTATTATTTATTAAATAAACATAAAATTAATTTATAAATAATTAAATAATATTTTTTAAAAAATTAAATAATATTTATATATTAATTTAAAATATAAAAAATTAAAAAACTAAAAACTAAAAAACAAAAAAAGGCAACGGATGTCGCCACATCCGTTAACGGATGTGACACATCCGTTTTAATATATTATAACAAATTTTTTAATTAATTATTTAAATAATAATACATAAATTAAAGTAATAATAATTATTTTTATTAAATAAAATAAAATTATTTATAACATAATAAGTAAATTTTAAATAATTAAATGTAATTTATATATTAATTTAAAACAAAAAAAAATAAAAAAACTAAACTAGAAAACAAAAAAAGTAACGGATGTCGCCCCTGTGGCACATCCGTTTTATATATTTTATACGAAATTTTTTAATTATTATTTAAATAAATAATACATAATTAAAAATTCAATAATAATTTATTTTAATTAAATAAAATAAATTAATTATAAATAATTAAGTTAATATCTAAAATAATTAAATAATATTTAATATATTAATTTAAAACAAAAAAAAATTAAAAAATTAACAACTAAAAAACAAAAAAAGGCAAACGTTTTCGCCACATCCGTTAACGATGTACATGTCCGTGGAATAATTTTTTCGTCAACGGATGTTGACATCCGTTGAAGAAAAGGGGTGGGTGTGGATATTTTAAAATATAAAGATGTTTTGGCATTTTAAGAAAATGTGGTGGTGCAGGTGGCAGGAAGTACAGTGGGGTGGTGTAGGGAGTAAAACCCTTGATTAGGATATCTTTACATGGTTTAAATTACGTACACCACAAAAGAGTACGATAATAATGTCAGTTAAAAATTATAAATTTTTAACGACTACAATCGTCAAATGAAATTTTGATAATTAAATAATTATCAAGCTATATATGTCAAAAATAATTTATGATAGAAATGTTTTAACTACTGATACTTTTTATTAGAAAATAATAAAAATTCTATGAGTAAAAAACTACTATAAAATTATTCTTTTATAATCTTTTATTATATTGAAACAATTAATTTTTTTATAAAATGTATTATATTTTATTATCATTTAACAACACTTATTAAAACTTTAGAAGCGTGACAAATTATTTAAATTTATTTTATCTTTTCAATTATTATTTTGTTTACTAATTTTATAATAAATAATTAAATTATCTATTTTATTTAAAATTATTTTTTTAAGATGATAAAAACAGTATTAATAAATTAAGATAAACATAAAATCATAATTAAAATGTTTTAAGTTTTGTCCTAAATAAACATATTCCACTTTGTAATCAATTTACAAGATAATCTATATAACAAAACAATAAATAGAGACAAGGTTAGGGATGGCTAATGTTGAAGGAAAACTTTATCATGAGAAACACACAAGAGAAGTGTGTAGTTTTAAAGTGAGTGGCATTATTTGATAACCACCAATATGTAAAGTATGTTCCTTTATACATATTGAAGAATGATAATAATAATACGATACAGGTACAAGAATCTAGGAAAATCATGGAAAATTTTAGAAGCCACACCACTACAAATAAGTTATACTAAGGAACTTTTAGTCTCTAAAAATAAAAGTACAAGTGAAGGTACTCTATACTGGTTTTGATGGTCATAACCCATTATAGTTATAAATGGCTAAATATTTTTTTAGAAGAATTGAAGTCATACGCAAAGATGAGTTTAGACTCTTTCTCTGAGTCAATCATGATGCTTTTAGAGGGTAGGAATAATTTTTTTGGTCTTATTTTTGTATCAAGTAATCTAAAATTTATTGGACTTTGTATTATAAGGGCAGGTAGTGTATGATTAATAATTTGGGCTTGTAATTTTTGGCTAAGTATTGTAGATTTTTTTAAAAACCACACTTAAGTAAAACAAAGTTACTGTTTTACCCAGTGTAACGTCCATAATAAGATGGATGACCAAGGGTCAAAGTTTTTTAACCTAGCATTGGTGGACAATATTGTGATACATCCCCATATGGTGAGTATAACCATATAATCATGGCATGCCCTTTGGAAAATAGTTTTCATAGTTATGATCACATGTCACCCTAAGATGGAGAAATTTTCCACAAGTAGTGACCACACGTTTTTGATAGTTAACCTTTAACCCCCAGTACCAAACCTCCTTTAGTGTTAACCCCAGTAGTTAACCCCCCCAGTTTTTTAACCTTTATAGTTAACCCCCCACCCCCCCACCACCTATATTTTTAGTTTAACCACCTCTCAAACTAGGTTGACCAAAGCATGAAGAGATGTTATGGTGATGATGAAAGTGCAAAAACAATGGTGTAAACGGGGAAGGATGCACACGATTTTAGTGATTTAGTGATGGTGGGATAGTGTTTGGTGGTGCCTTAGAGATATTAGGTCAACTCTTAGAGGAAAGTGACCAGAGGAGACCATATGAAATGTTTTAGCCTTGACTTTAAAGACTTTAGAGACTAAGAGAATGACTTAATATTTTGATAACATTTCATTACTAATCTCAAAGTAAAATACAAGAGTGGTGATACCTCTATTTATAGACTTAAAACTAAGTGTTATCTACTAAAACTTGCGTTGTCTATAAAGATTTAATTGTGCTTGTCATAGACATTGACAAAACACATAACTTAACAAAAAAATACACATCACCACAAGTAAATAATTATTGAATCAATGAGTTCATATTCAAATATATTCAAATAAAGACTTATAATTATTAAAATATTCTATAAAATAACGTTATTTAATTTTGACTTTTACTTTTCACATTAATTATATTTTAATCACTTTTTGACTCTTAAGTAATTGACTAGTATAATTAATCAAGAATGAAGACCTCACATGTAACAAAAAAAAGAACCCAAAAATCAAAATTTCCTGTGACTTGGATTTCGACGTCTATTGAACTTTGGTTACTTTCGATTTGAGTTCCATATTGATTCTCGTGCTTTAGCAGAATTCTTGAATTCTTCGTTCTAAGCTTCGACCATTTTCTGCTTCGAAAAATGTGAAGAAAACAAGAATAGGGAAAGTTACTAACAAAAAATCAAACTTGAAAAAACAAAACAATTAAATGTATATAACTAAAAAATTGTAGCGGTTAAAGAAACTATCAGAAATAAAAATATTTGTAGCAATTTATTGTAATAGCTAATAAAAATGCTTTCTTCTTTCGATTTCGAAAAGAGAATTGATCAAATGTAAAATATCCTGAAACCTACCTATAGAACCTCGTCTAATTTGCAGGTTAATTGTCAGACTACAAAAAATCTACAATTTGAAGGGTTCTAAATTTCATCAAGCCTGTGTATGTAACTTTGACCTCAGGAACCCTAACCAAGATACCCACCAAAAACTGTGTATTTTTCTTGGAACTTTCCTAAATCAGAAGGATCAATAGATGAAGATTACCTTTGAAAGAATTCACACAATTGAATTCAGACTTCAAATGTTGATACCCTTTGACATATTGCTATGGTTTTTTTACCTTAGTCGACATTTCAAAGTTAATCGTCTTTTGGTAGGTATTCACTTCGGTGTGGATACGAATTTCATAATTTTTCATGATCATTAAAATTTTCTCTCATTCTTATACTCTACTTACTGAGTCATAATGGACTTTATAAACACAAATGTACTTTTTAAGAGTT